TTCTTTCACATCGAAGTGAAACAGCATTGTCCCTCCAGAAGACGAGACAATGCGACCGGTCCAAGATCAGCGGCGCACACCTCTTCTGCAAACATTTTTGGATCTGAACTGAAAATCGTGGCCTAGGCCTCCAAGTACCTTCTGAGGTGGGTTTGGAGGGTCCAGTCATACCTTCTGAAGAGGTACTTGGAGGTGTAGGGTGAGGACATATGGGGACCGCCACGGGGACATATGCACCACGCACCACGACTCTCGGACGATGAAGTGCCTGGATTCGCCCCACACATCCGAGCACGGACGTGCGAAGGAAACAAGAACCAGAATGCCGCTGGCTGCCTAAAAACCATGGTAGTCAGATTGTCCCTTCCTACAATCCCCCCATACAAAAAATAAGATCCCACACATAAAAAAGGATCCAAACACACAAACACATTCAACGTTCAGCCGTTGGAACCGACCCCTTTGATCCAACATCGTTTCACTGACCGGCCCGTCTCGTCTCGTCTCCTCTCATCGAGCCGATCCCGTCGCGATGCCGCAAGGCCGTCTCTCAAGGCGCTCCGCTAGAGATGAGGAAGACATGTCATTGACGTCCAAAGCATTACCCAATACAATTCATGTGTCATAATAATACATGTGTACCCAGTTTGCAAACCAAGTTCAGAAAAGATATGTACAAAACATTCGACGTGTACGAAACACCTCAATGTACATTCGTGAAACGAACATGAAACACAGCAAACATGTCTTCACGACACACACCGCCCTTGCCATAGCAATATCAGGCCTTGAGCTCTGCATCGCGCGGTCGGCCAACCCTGTCTTCAGTGTCGGCGACCCTTTCTGGGCCGCCTCGCGTCAAAAAGAAATCACGTCCTGGGCGGCTGTGAAGGTTGAGGGAACACAAGTCATGATGATCAAACTTCAAGATTGATATGGGTCCATTTTTCTTGTAGGAAGAGCTGCCTACACAATGGTGGCAATTTGAATGACCCTCGAGTTTCTGCAGTTGTCTGGAACATCCCAGGGCGGAAATACTTTCCATCTTGGTTTTTGTCCAACGTGATTGCTTTGTGCACCGGACTTCATGAAAAAATCATGGAGGAGAGTGCCTGAATCAACGCAAAGTGAAATGTTTTTCGTATTCCATCTTTACCCCGCCCGATCCCAGCGGAATCTGTCGACTGTTTCCGCGAACCTTGGGCCGTGACTGCTGGCGCTGTCCAGTGCTTCGAACTGAAGCACACCTAGGGAACAAACAAAAAGCCATCCCATCGACCAATTTCCTGTCCAAAACTCATCCACCCAACGCATTTCTGGATCTCAATCGAACACCACTGGCCGGGACTCAGGTCTCCGTCATCTCCTGCTGCTCGCGCCACGGTGGTCATCAGCAAGGCACCACTGGCACAGCGCAGCGATCAACACGCCGCACGCCTATTTCACCGCAAGAGTTCAGTGTGTCTCTTCAACAAACTCCTTGCACCGGGGCACATGCCTGGTCCAATAACAAAATTTGGTGAACAAACTGCTCTCCAAGAGCTTGTGTGTGCCGCCAGCCAGTTTGAAGTTCCTCGATGTCCTGCGGTCGGCGGCACCGGGCAGCAGCCCTTATCGTTCCAACGTCAAGCTGATTGCAGTTTCATTGTCCCTTTGCAGTGGTGGGTGCATGCTCGATGGTGCTGCTGCAAACGCTCCCAGAAGGCGCAGCACTTCATTCGACTTGGGCACTTTGCAGCTTGGTCTCCAAGTCCGTGGCGGCCTCAGCTTCATGGGCCATATGATGAACCTCCCAAATGGCCCCGCACTTGAGACATTCCTTGAAAAAACACACCCCATCAGCCAATTTCAATGAGGTTGGGGTTGGAATCCAAAAGCAGAACAGGTGAAACACAACAGAAGGCTTACAGACAAGCCGCGTGGAAAGACTGTCTGCGTGCTCGCAGCTTCCTTCAAAGCTCAGCATCTGCATCTCCTGGGGTCAGCGGCACTGGGCTGCAGCCCTTTTTGCGCGTGGGCGGGCTTCCCACCAACTGCCAAAGTGTTGCTTCATTGGGCGACCGCTCACTGTATACGGACGGCCCGCTCATCAAGCCAATGCCTTGTGATTCAAGCTGTGATGTCTGGATGTCTGGGTGAGCGCACATATTTAGGAGGTAGCATCTTTCAGAGAATTTGCCACACGCATTGGCAAAAGAGGCCCTCTTCACCTGCTGCACCAATAATTCCAGCGGGGCGAAGAATCTGAGCAAGAAAGGGTTAACCAACACTTTCAATGCTGCGAACGAGTTCAGCTTGGACCGAATCTCCAGCAAAACCACTTCTCGGAAAAGGCCTCGTTGCAGAGAGGACCTGCAAAAACACCTTTTCAAATCACTGAGCCTGCGACCACCACCTTGACCACGATCATTCGCCACCACAACCACCACTAAATCACCACCACTGCGCATTTCTCGGAACCTTGGTGGATGTACTGCCAGTAACACACTCACCATGGCGTTTCAAGTTGACTACCCTACACCGCCAACGCAAAATGTTTCCAAGTCAACTGAGGTGACAGCAAAACCAACCTAGTTGAAGCGCTTCCGAAAGTCTAAGTAGAACAAGAAGTCATATACCTCCCAGATGATGTGTAGTGCAAGGAGCGAAGCTTGCCAAAACCGCAGATCCATGGCGTGGCTGTTCGCCATCACCTCACTTGCGAAGTCTGTGTATTTTGGACTTGTAAGTGCTTTGAAAAAGCACCACCAACACCTCCGGCAGCAAAACCACTTCCAGTCCAAGTTGCCTTCGTTCTGCGAGAAGAGAATATTGTGGCCATGGAAAGTCCAGCGCTTTGCGGGGTGCGTTGTTGAAGACATCGTTGATCTCCTGGCTGTTGGACATCATCAGAGCGCATGTGCACAGTACATACAAATTGTTCAAGCAGTGTAGCCCGACCGATCAGCATCTAAATCTTGCCTGTAGGTTGCCCGGAGCTGCAGTTCATGCACAGAAAACACGTGGGCGTGGCCAGGCATTTTTGCGTTTGATTGAATCCGTAAATGTTTCTCAAGCTGGGCCTCCACAGGCGCAACTTCGTGGACATGTAGGTGGCTGGTATTAGTGTGGATCTTCGCGTGGTAGCCACGTGCACCCACGGTTGTTTCTGCATTCGATTGTTCAAAGTATCATGAGCAAGTGCACGAAGCTCCTTGCCACACAAGCTTTGCAGAGCTCAAGGCTTACAACATTGCTCCGCTACCACAGCCAAGTCACGCTTTTGCGGCTTGCAGCAAGCTCTGCCTATGCATTTCACAGCAAGGATAGGTCGAATACCTCTGGGCCGGCCTTTCTGCAAGGCGCTGGAGGCCGCCGGTGAAGGAATCTGCCGCGCATCGGGCCCAGTCAGCCTCAGGGTTCATCCTTGCAGACACGGAGTTGCAACCTGTTCTCACAAGCAGGCGCATTGCAATGACAACGAAAGCGCCTGGCGAAGCAGCGCGCATAGCGTCCGGACCGCGCCCAGGCCCTGCAATCCGCCGGCGCACAGGCCCTGGCGCGCAGGCCCCCAGCACACCTGACAAAGGGCAAAAAGGAAGAGCCCATGACAGAAGAATAAGGAGGCTCATTCTGCTTAGTTCTTTGGTTCTGCATTGGGTGAGAGCGTCGTCTGCATATAGCATAGGGTATGAACCATAATGCCAGAACGCAATCTCAAACTCCTAAATGCCCTTTGGTTGCATATAAGCACCCATGCAAGGAACCCTTTGATCCCAATTGTGAACAGAACAGAACATTCGGTTGACTGTTAACCGTGTTAGGTCCTGGTTATCTTTCTGCTGAGCCGGGGGACAATTTCAACCTTGGAAGCGCTTCAGCCCTGTGGATCCCTCCCTTAAACCACGCTCTCATTCCTTGGACACCCATCGGATTCCGGGCAATGAAGATGGATATAGCTTATAAGTGCTGCTCAGACTGATGGGGCCACGCTGGTTCTTTTGAGGGCCACTGAGGTCTCCACAAGGAAGCGTCTGTTTCTACAGCGCCACCATTCGCGCTCTGCTCCACTCTCAAGGTAAGGGGGCTCCGGCGCAGGCAGGCCACCTGCCGATGATCAAGTCAAGAAGCATCGAAGCAAACGCGCCACTTTGAAGGAACAAGGGCTGCTTCTGAGCAACAACAGCGAACAAACAGAAGAAAAGAGAAAGAGTCTCAGAGAGAGACAGAGAGAGGGAGAGGGAGCGAGGGAGACGAGAGAGGGAAAAGGCAAGGGAAAGAGAGAAACAGAAAGAAGCCACACATTAGTCGGCCGGCTGAAGTGATAGAGCATGGGGCTCGGATTGAGATTGGAGAGTCCACTGCTTGGATCGAAGCCAGCTGCAAGGGACAAAGAGACAAGTATATTAATAGAGAGAGAAAGCCAAAGCGGAAAGAAAGAAGCAAGGCAAGAAAGAAAGAAGACACATTCTTGAAATGAGCACTTGTGCCCCTGGCCAGCGCAGGCAGCAGCGGCTGGAGCAAACCTGAGAAACAAAGCAGGAGTGCATTTGTCAGGCGTGCCTGCCCGCGCAGCCCAGCAGCTGCCCAGCTGCGCCCAGCTGCGCCAAAAGCCATGTCGCCTAAGGAATGCCTTGTGACCTTGTGCTTTCCATTTTTGTATGCTCATGTGTCTTGACCTTGTAAAGTCAAGGGTGATCGGGATAAAGATTCTCCGACAGGGTGTGGGCACCGTCGGCGGCCATGAGCACCAGTGGCTGCGAGCATGTCATCAGTGGCTGTTGCAACAAGCAGCGATATACAGATACGCTTCTGGCACTTCTGATGTTGCGGTGTTCACTTTTCCGCCGCCAAACGGGCCTAGACTGTTACTCTTCCAGGCCCGTGTTGGGGCACCGACGGCGCTCAGATCCTTGGTGACTGCAGTCCCGGTCAGACCCGAGAGAGATCGCATAGTCGTCGCCCAATCATATGCTCTGCAGTCGAGAGACGCCACGCCAGGAAGCGCCGGTGACCACAGATCATCTTAGCGGACTCCGACCGATCTCCGCTCGTCTCCGATCTCGTCTCGTCGAGACGGAGGCCGCACTTCCTTCTGCGTTTCTTCTCCCGGTTGGGCCAAAAAAAGGACACGGCGTGTGGGAGGGACACGCCGTCGACGGAAAAACCACTCCGACCGCCGTCGACCGCCGCGCGTCGACCGCCGCGTCGACTGCCACGACACCCTCGCTGTCGGTGGAGACGTCCACCCAGCGACGACGGCTATCCTGAGTCGGAAGCGCGTGAAAGCGGGACGTCGACCGTTTGGGTCCCAGCAAAGGACCCAAAAACACAAGCTAGCATGCAATTTCATGGAAAGTGGATGGATGTGGTGATGGAGGGTGATTGGGTTCCCCCAAATCGAGGCCCCAATTCTTCCACTTCGCATCAAAGCCACCACAGGTGCCACAGGCACAGGCGTCACGGGCACCGGCAACGCATCACCAGCCTCCGTGGGGACGTCCGGACGGTACTGAGAACTGACACTACCTAGGAGTGTCCGATCGCTCCTATATAGTAGCGATGCCCTTTGTTCCTAGTAGCTTGTTGTTCCCAGCAGTAAGGCCAGGAGCTACCAGTAGCTCCTTGTTACTACGAGCGATATCCTCCAACCTACAAGCGATGGCCTCCTACCTAAGAGCTGGCTAAAAAAAGGAACATGTATGGATAGGTGGTTAACCAGCAGACTGATGTTTTCCACCTCACACTGGCTAGCGCCTGAAGGGAAGATCGAATCCAGCAGGCAACTCTCTCTCTCTCTCTCTCTCGTGTAGGAAGCAGCTGAAGAGAACATACGGTAAGACAGAAACCAGAAACACCAAGCTGAAAACAAGAGCAATTTGCAAGTCAAAGAGGAATTGAAACACAGCAAGAGTCTACCGTCTCACTTCGAGTCTCACGTCAGCCTTTGTGGACTCTTCGCCCCTGCTCTCTGCACTTGTTGACGCATCGCTTGCCTGGTGTGCCGGTCGCTGCGTCCCGTCCGGTGACCGGTCCGGTACCGAGCTGCGAGATGCTGCGAGTCATGACGACGAACACGGAAATATGCGATCCGAAAGCCAGAAAAGCAGAACGAAAGCTCCGAATTGCCTCAAATATGGAGCCTCCCTACTGGTTCCACATGTGGGTTCCACGTGGTTCCACTCTTCCAAGCCATGTCGGAAGTGGGGAAAAACGTCGAAAACATGTTAACAAAATTAGCCCAGCTGGAGATCCCAATAGCAAGATACAAAGCGGGACAAACAAAATCTGGAAACAGCTGCTGTTGTCAACACATCGACCATCTCTTCCTGGGACATCACAACATGACCGGGAGCACCATCCGATCCGCAAGTGACGGTGACCCGATGGCGCCAGTTTTGCACGACCCCATAGCATGGCTATCCCAGACACGACACATGGGACTGCCATAGGACTGCCGATCAATTGACCCCCCTGGCAGGCGTCTGGCTCCAAGGCCTAGGCCTCAGGGAGTTCACGGGCCCCAGGACTGGGTGGTCGCGCATAGCGGAGTCCAGTGTCTAACAAGGGCACGACTCCTCGCGCCCACCCGGTTCTACTGACCGTTGGTTCATCCCGCGTCCTTTGGTAGTTAGTTCCATGGCTGCTTTCGCTTGGGGTCCGTCTCTGCGAGACCCGGATCTTGATCGCAAGCTGCAAGGTGTCTTCGACATGTTTGGAGAAGATACTTATGCGTGGGACATTGGATCTCGCAAGGTGGTGGCAGTTGAGATCATTTCCATCTCCCGAGACTGGATTGATGGCTTCCTCTGCCGTTTTCTGCCACGCGTTGGCCTTGACTGGCTCCAAGAAGATCGCAAAACTGCCAAGATTCGCATTTCAGGATTGGACCATAGGTATCCCCTACTTTGTGGAGGCGAGCGCATCCTTTGTGCTGGTATTGCGAAGACTGCGGATGTGGGAATGACAACGCTTGAATTTCATCCTGGTGTTTCTGTGGTTCATGTTCCAACCATGGCACCTGAACTACATTGGGCGATTTGTCACATGTTTGCTGGAGGATACGGAGGCTGGGCACAAGCTGCAGAGTGGCTGCAAGACTCCAATGCTGGGTTTGTCATTGACCGTCAGGTTTTCATTGATTGGGAGCCCCATGTCCCCATGTGACTCGCACGTGCAGCCTCAATCATGGAACCAATATTGACAAAGCCCCATTGGTACCGAGTGCAGACTTTGCTATCAAGCGGAAGATCATCGTCGAGGCTGCCATAGCTGACATGACTGCGCTTCATGCCATCCGTATGCCCTTCAACATGCTGGCCACGATTTCGCCCCCGTGCATATCCTGGTCACTTGGCGGCAAGGGTGGAGGTTTTGCCTCCATCCATGACATGGCTCTTGTAGATGCAATCGAGTTTCTCTTTGCAACTCAGCCCAATGCGGCCATGTTTGAGTGCGCTGATGCGATCAAATCACATCACCACTTTCCCGTGTTTGGAGCTCTCATGAACCATTTAGGGTATAAGCAAGCATGGGAACAGATCATTCCTTACCATCTCCTTGCCAATCACCACAGGAACCGATGGTTTTCGGTCTGGGTTCGACATGATGTCCAAGCCACTGCCGTTGACAATTTGTTCAGGTTGATGGTGCCACCCATCATTCCATGGAATGACTCCCGCTACCACTTCTCTTTGCCCCAACAAGTCATGCAGCAGCTTCGTTTATCACCAGAGCACATGCGAACATATGGTGATCTTCAGTTGTTGCCGCCAGCCAAAAGGTCCAGGGTTCAGTCCGCCGAATCAACTCTGCAGGTTGTTCGTGCCCGAATTCCCTCCCCAAGTGAACCACTTGCCACCCTCTGTTCGTCCTACACACAACAGCACTGCCTTGATCGCAATCACTTGGAAAGGAGAGGGATTTTTGCAAGCATCACGGAAGACAACAATCAGTTCGTGTTTCTTGACCCAGCCCGTTTCATTGCACTGTTCGGCACTGTCACCGATCTTGCTTTCCCTCTTGATGTTGCAAAAGCCTTCCAGCAAATCGGGAATGCCGTGAGTGTCCCTCAGGCTCTCTTGTGTTTCCTGGTCACGCTTGCATCGACCACTAGCCTGCAGATTCCGATTCAGGAGACCCTTCGTAAGTGCTGGCTGAGCAGGATTCATGCAGATACAACTGTTCTTGAGGTCATTGCTGACCATGTGTGGATTCGCAATATTGTGCAATTTGTGCATTCGTTGCCTAAGCCAATCTTTCATGTGCTCGCACCGAATGCCCAGGTCATCTTCCTTGATGAGAAGTTCCCGATCGAGATCGGTGCACATATGAGCTTTCGCGAGCTTGCTGCCATGCTCTTTCGTTTGCAGTTCCACCAAATGATGCAGATTCGTGTTGAGCATGTCTCATTGCACCCAACTCCAGTTGGTCTTGCTTTGCCTTTCATTGAACAGACGCAAGAGTTCGAGCTCTATCTTGGGGGGTATCAATTGTGCACTGTGCAGACATGGGACGGTTGTTCGAGCCATGTTGGCCCATCACCTGTCATTCCAACTCCACGTGCAGATCAGCTATGTCCGCAAGTCACGCAAGCTTTGTGTAAGCCTTTGAGCATCGAAGAACTGCGATTCATGCAAGTCATTGAAGCCCTTGAGAACTTGAACTGCATCACTCTTGCACCAAGCAGCACGTTCATCATTTGGGCTGAAAGAAACATGTGGGCCTTTACTCCATTTGATGGTCATGAGAGTCAATTCCCAGCACGCCTTCGTACTGCTTTCGAGGTTCTGATTCCGCCAGCCAAGATTGTCATCATCTCTTTGCACCAGAACTTTCGCTGGAGGCAGGGCATCAAAGGGTTCATCGTCAAGAACAGTGACACCACGCATCATGCTGGGAAATGTGTCTTGCAGGAGTCGCCCAATCCAGATGGGACCTCAGCCTTTGCTGTCACAGAGGCACGTGAAAGCTGGCCCTCAGGCACTTTGCACAATGGCCTCCCCATTCAGGTACCTTGCCAACCGCAGGATGGTGACATCTTCCTTGTCCCTCCTCAGTGCATTCGAGCCGGGGGTGTCCATGACATTTGCAAAAAGAGACAGGTCTTGCTGCCAGGTGCAACGTTCGCTGACCGATGCGAGTTTGCCTGCAACACAGAGGGTTGGTTAGCCACTGGTGAAGCATGGTTCCACATTGCCAGCCTTAATTGGATCACTCCCAACATCGCCTTCCTTGATCCGGTGTTCTGGGATAGCAGGGTCAACCATTTGACTCTCTCTGATGGCACATCCCTTGGATTTCCGAACAACACCATTTCGATCTTGCCTGTATTGGTCGACAACCATTGGTCACGGGTTGAAGTCATGCGTCTTGCCGATGTCATCCAGATTGTATTCGTGCAGGTCCCTGTCGAACTCCAGAGCAGACTCCAGAACGATCCTTGCAGGCATTTTCGATGTCATGCCGTCTAAGCTGAACATCACTGAAACTTGGCCAGAACAGCACTTCAATATGTGTGGATGGACACTTTTGCGTCGTTGGAGCACCTTGATTTCGGATGAGGAATGGCAAATTCCGGTTGATCTTTCCCAGATCACACCAACCAAACTGCAGTCGCTTCAACTAGCAATTGAAGCCAGTCAAGAGGATTGGAGAGCCGTTGGTATTGATCATACCTTTCTGCGTTTTGCCACTCAGCTGAGGCCTGGCTCACCTCGCTCGCACCACCACGAACCTCTCGTCAGCAGTAGCACAGCCGCTGTCGACAAATGTGCATTCGCTTGCAGCCAATCCAGAGACAAGGGCAACAACCATGACTGCCTTCTCCGGGGAGACTCCCCACTTCCTGTTTGACTACCTCAACCGTAGGCTTGAAGATTTCCGATGCGAGCCAACCTGGGCTGCCAGTGATGAGATCGACCATGCATTAGATGTTGCTCGCATCTATGCTTCGCACACCTTGATCGTTACGCCTCTGTGGGATCCGCAGTCAGCATCGTGCAAGTCCATCACAGGGGCACAGACCCCCCTTGTTGGGTTTACGGAGTTCATTGCTCCCCTTCGTGTCGGAAGCCATTGGGTGCAGTGTGACATTTTTCTTCATGGCCAATCTCTCTTTGTGCTTTTCGCCAACAGCTTGCCACTAGATGCCGAACCGCAGGAGATTGCATTGTATTTTGGCCGAATCATGTCCATCCACCCTGCAAATGTCACTTATGTCGTCCATGATGCCGACACCCCAGAAGGCATGTGTGGCTGGTCGCTTGTGAAACGTGTCTTTGACCGATTTCGAATTCCGATTCCCGAAGTCGCAATGCCACTCGTCGATGCATTGTCCAAATCCCAGTTTGGTCAGACCATCACGTCCATCTTAGACAATGCCAATGCGGCATGGGCTCTCAGTACTGAGGATGTATCCCTTCGGAAGCTTGCTTACGCTGTCAGGAACACATTCCTGCATCGCATTTTGCACAAGCCAGGCCCTCCTGAGTATCTCTCAGCAGGAACCACAGATGCACATGATGTTACGATGCAGCCAACCGCAACTGTTGGCCCTGTTGACCCTCTCACGGTCAATGACCCGTGGGCCAAAGCCCAGCATCAGGCTTCGAGATGGGAGGACCTGAAATTGCCAAGTGTGCATCCGTTCGTTGACACTGCTCAGAAGCCAGTGCCGCAGATTCATCGCCTACAGGCGTCCAAGAACAGAGGGGGAGTCATTTTAGCCCCAAAGGGTGGTGTTGCAGATGTTTTGAAGACCCAACCTCCTGCCCCTTCCATTGTCGTGATGCCGGCAGGCGATTCTTCGTCCTATGGTCCTTTGGCAGCGCGCATCCAAGGTCCTTTCGAGGTCGTCCTTGAAGATCCCAAACTTAAGACAAGCCATAAGAAGACTCGTTCAGTTCTTGCTCGTCGAAGGTGATGTTAAATTCTCACTTGCCAAGCCAACTTGCTCTTTCACAACGCCACTTGTATCCGAGCTCGTTCTTGAACT